TATTGTACACCTGAAACTAATATTACACTGTATGTTAACTACTGGAATTTAAAATAAAGTTTCTTTTAAATCCCAGCAGGATTTTTTTCATAGACATTAACAGGCTAATTTAAAAATTACATGGATGGGGTGCTTGGGTGACTCAATTGAGCGTCTGCCTTCAGCTCAGGTCATGATCTCAGGGTCCTGGGATCAAGCTCCACGTGGAGCTCCCTGCTCAGTGGTAGTCTGCTTCTCCCTCTCCCTCTGTGCTCTCTCTGTCTCTCGTAAAGAAATAAAATCTTAACATAAAATAAAATAAAATATGGAAATGCAAAGGATTTAAAAGCCAAATGAACTTTTTTTTTTTTTTTAAGATTTTATTTATTTATTTGAGAGAGAGAGAATGAGAGAGCGAGCACATGAGATGGGGGAGGGTCCGAGGGAGAAGCAGACTCCCTGCAAAACAGGGAGCCCGATGCGGGACTTGATCCCGGGACTCCAGGATCATGACCTGAGCTGAAGGCAGTCACTTAACCAACTGAGCCACCCAGGCGCCCCAAAGCCAAATAAACTTTCAAAGAGAACTAAAAAGTTGGAGGACTTAATCTGATTATAAGACTTCTAAAACTATAATAATTAAGACTATGGAATCAGCATAAAGATAATAAACAGATCATCAGGACAGAGTAGAGAATCCAGAAACAGACCTACACACATATTTTCAATTGATTTTTCTTAAATGATGCCAAAGACATCAATGGGAAAAGGATAATCTTTTCCCCAAAATGATATTGGAACAAGTAGATGGTCATAGACATTTACGTAGAACTTCAACCTATATCTCTCCATATGCAAAAATTAACTCAATATAACAGATAACGTGTATTTTACCACAGTAAATGTATGTTAACAGAGAACTAAATGTAACAGCTAAAATTGATCTATTTTCTGTAAGGAAACAGGAGAAGATCTTGGTGACCTGGTGGGATAAGTAGAATACCTCCCCAAAAATACCTACACCTTAATCCCTGGAACCTACAAATACAGTAGATGCTAAAGAAACTTTGCAGATATAATTAAGGTTATAGGCTTTATGATTAAAGAGATTATCCTGATTTGGGAGGTGGGGGGGCAATCTAATCACAGGAGCCTTTAAAAGCAGAGAATTTCACTGGAGGCCAGAGAAATTGGCAGAAGGGGTAAGAGATTCCAAGCAAGGATTTGCTGTGCCTTTGTTGGCTGGCTGAGGTGGGGGCCCAGTGCGAGATGGGGCGAGGCCTCTAGGGGCTTTGGTCGCCCCAGATGGCAGCCCCCAAGGAAATGGGCCACAGTCCTACAGCAGGAAGGAGCCGGAACTGGCCGGTACTCTGGCCAGCCTTAGAAACGGTTCTTCCCGGGAACTCTGCCTCATTAAGAGCCAAGCTAGTGGACACCTCAGTCTGGGCCCTTGTGAGACTCAGCAAAGGAATCGTCCAAGCACATCAGACATCAGCTGTGAAGTAGTAAGCTCGTGTCGTCCTAGGCTGCTTAGTTTGTGATAATTTATTACAGTAGCAATAGGAGACTAATACACGGTGGTCGAGGCAAATATTTCTCAAATAGGTCTCAGAAAGCACAAATTGGGATGCCTGGGTGGATCACTCGGTTAAGCATCAAATTCTTGATTTCAGCTCAGGTCATGATCTCAGGGTCCTGGGATCAAGACCCACATTGGGCTCCCTGCTCAGCAAGGAGTCTGCTTGAGATTCTCGGTCTCCCTCTGTCTCTTCCCCTCCCCTGCTTGCTCTCCCTCTCTCGCTCTCAAATGAAGATAAAATCTTAAAAACACACACACACAAACTACACAAAAAATATAAATAAATCAGGCTTGAAAATTAAAGACTTTGGGGCGCCTGGGTGGCTCAGTCGTTAAGCATCTGCCTTCGGCTCAGGTCATGATCCCAGGGTCCTGGGATCGAGCCCCGCATCAGGCTCCCTGCTCGGCGGGAAGCCTGCTTCTCCCTCTCCCACTCCTGCTGCTTGTGTTCCTTCTCTCGCTGTGTCTCTCTCTGTCAAATAAATAAAATCTTTAAAAAAAAAATTAAAGACTTAAAAAATCAAAAACTTGTTCTTCAAAAGGTGTTGTATATATAAAAAGGCAATTCACAGACTGATAAAATATTTGCAAAACATCTAGACTTGTATCTTAAAGAGCTCCTAGAACTCACTAATAAGACAAACAACCCAGTTTTTAAATTTTTATTTATTTACTTATTTTAAAGATTTTATTTATTTGAGAGAGAGAGAATGAGAGACAGAGAGCATGAGAGGGAGGAGGGTCAGAGGGGAGAAGCAGACTCCCCGCCGAGCAGGGAGCCCGATGCGGGACTCGATCCTGGGACTCCAGGATCATGACCTGAGCCGAAGGCAGTCGCTTAACCAACTGAGCCACCCAGGTGCCCCAACCCAGTTTTTTTAATTTGGCAAAAGATCTGAACAGACATTTCACCAGAGAAGGTGCACAAATGGTATCAGGCACATGAGTGATGCTCAGCGTCATCAGTCATTAGGGAAATGGGAAATTAAAGCCACAGTGAGAATCGTCATGTACCCACAAGAACGGCTAGAAGTTAGAAGTCTGCCCGCATGGTGTGTGGGTAAGGATGTGCTGCTGATGATCACGTGAAACGGGACCACTGATTTGGAGAACAGTCCAGCAGGTTTTTTAAGCTGAACAGACCTCGGGTCCATACTAGACGGCACAGACCTGTTTCTACTTGCTCCTCTGAGGCAGAACCACCATGAACCATGGGCATAACTAAAGACAACCAAAGGAGAAGTCTGGGAAGTGGTAAGAGGAAGGCGAAATGGTCTGGAGCCCCAAGGCTGGAAAAACACAGCGATGGGTGTCATAAACCCAAAACCATCTTTCCGCAGTCTCAGCTCCTTTAGCAAGGAATACTCCCCAGTTCTCTCCAGGAGTCCTTCTCTGCTTTTATAGTGGGTAGATGTTCTTATCCTCAAACAGTGGGGACATTTGCTAGGATTTTGCTGCTGGACATGTCTGTGTCTTTGGTGGGGTAACCCGAGGAACTGGAAGAAGGCTTTTTCAGGGACCCGATGCTCTATGTGGACATTTGAGTTGTTGCTTGCTACCGCTCAGTGAGACTGACTCCTTGAGGAACGGGCATAATCAACTACGATTTAATCTTTCTTTGCGGCTCCAACGGTCACCCCTTCATAGTGACTGTAGACCAAACCGCAGGTTTCTTTGAAGGCTTGTCTGCTTTCTGTTCTTGTCCTCCTGCCTTTTGACCTAACAGAACTAGGAACATCTACAGGACTCTACCCATTATTCTAGTGATTTTAATTTTTTTTAATTTTTAAAATTTTTTGAAGATTTTATTTGAGGGAGGGAGGGAAAGAGAGAGAGAGAGAGAGAGTACATGAACAGGGGGAAGGGCGGAGGGAGAGGGAGCAGCAGACTCCCCACTGAGCAGGGAGCCCAACACGAGACCCGATCCCAGGACCCTGGGATCATGACCTGAGCCGAAGGCAGATGCTTAACTGACTGAGCCACCCAGGTGCCACAAGACATCTTTTTTCTGTAACCCTTTCTACTTTCTAAACTTTGTTGGTGTGCCTGTGTATTTGTGTGTTTTACCACGTGTGTATCATTCAAAAAGATAATCTAAAATATTTGGCTAATCTAATGGGTTGCTCTAAAGGTAGCCCTAACTGCACTTTTCCCCAGCAATATCCTATTATTCTTTAACACTGATTATTTTGCACATAAGCCCTAATAAAATCCCCAGGACACTCTCCCCAACCCCACCTCTGACATCCAGAGTGGTTTTTAAAAGTGAAACGGATCTGTTCACTCCCCTGCTTTAAAACCCTCCAGTGGCTTCCCACAGTCCCACTCAACCCTGTCACCGTCTTCCTCATTGCACTTACTGCGGAAAATCACCTTCCTCATCTGTTTGTGTTTACACATACTGCCTGTCACCCACACCATAACGTGGTATCTTTACCTGGATAACTGGATGTTCGTACACACAGGTGCGCAACAATTCCTGAATAAAGGAGTCCGATAAGGGAATGCAAGGAAGACCTATTTCTGTTTAGTGGCCTAAGCGAAGCTACCATACAGCCTCCAACTCAGACACCGCTCATAGTTCATTCAGCCATCCACAGAATTATTAATGTGATCAAATTATCAGAAATTAATTCATATAAAGTTGGCACCTCAATTCAGTAAAAACGCTGAATTAGAAAATAAAATTACGAAGAGAAAATACAACTTAATAGCTAACATCTGTTAAGCAATTAGTCTGCGCCATCCTCGTGTATTAACTCACTCAATTCCCTCAGTGGGGACGCAGAGAGCTCTGAAGAGACTTGCCAGGGTCACCAGGGTACTAAATGGTGGAGCCAAGAGCCAAACATTCAGGAGGCATCTTGAATGGGTACACAAAATGCTTAAATTCTACACCGAAAGAGATTATTTTATTGAGTGTACGTTAAAAGTAACTCTTTAAAAATTCATAGGGCAGTGATTATGCGGCTGCAGACTATTTAAAGGGAGACATGGGGCGCCTGGGTGGCTCAGTTGGTTGAGCGGCCGCCTTCGGCTCGGGTCATGATCCTGGAGTCCCGGGATCGAGTCCCGCATCGGGCTCCCTGCTCGGCGGGGGGTCTGCTTCTCCCTCTGACCCTCCCCCGTCTCATGCTCTATCTCATTCTCTCTCTCAAATAAATAAAATCTTAAAAAAAATAAATAAATAAAGGGAGACATAACTTAGCACCAAGCACAAGGGTGGTACAGTACTACCAACTATTAAAATTTCCACCTGTGACCAGGACACCACGGGGTCTCTACCAACCGAGCCCTGAGACTGACCACCGCCCGAGTCCGCCACTGACCTCACCAGACCCTCATCACTAAACTTCGGACCCCAATCACTCAGCCACGGACCAACGTCACCAGCCCACAGAGCCCGCGTCCCTGCCCGACGGTCACGCCGCCAGCGAGCACACAGCCTCGCGTGACGGTCCCCACGTCGGACCCCTAAACCGCAGGATCACAGGCATCCTCACTGGGCCCACGGGCGCGAACGCTGACCTCGCGAGTGTCGCATCACTAACTGGGGCACTAACCCACGAACCCCGCCATCACCGACCAACCACTCCAACTCTCCGGTCGCAGGCTTCTGGGACCGCGGAGCCAGGGGCAACCGCAGAAACGCCCTTCTAGAGCGACTTCCGCCCGCGGAACAGGCCCCGCTGCCGGAACTACGGCGGCCGCGAGGCGGGGCTGCGCGCGCCCGCGGAACTACGGCGGCCGCGAGGCGGGGCTGCGCGCGCCCGCGGAACTGCCGCCACGCGGGGCTCCCCGACTGCCGGGCGCTTCGTGGGGACCCGGCGTCCTCGCGGGCGGATTCGGTCCGCCGGCGGGCTGGAGGGAGTCTGGTGTGGAGATCGTGGAGATAGGGGGGAAGTCCCTGGCCTGGCAGAGTCGGGAGCTGCGGGGCAGGGGCTCGTGGCCAGTCCAGTGGGAAGCCCAGGGCACAGGGCTCGTGTTCGCCGCCTTCGGTGCGTGAGTCATTTCCCACACGAGGACGGCCGGTTGTCAGAGCGGCTCACAAGCCCAGCATTTAACCCACCTGGTAAGGTCCCCTTGGGCTGTGCTTATGCCCACGGATTTCCAGGGCCATCAGGATGGTCACAAAGACTCCTCGACCGAACCGGAGTCGGGCTCCGCTGAGCCTTCATCTCCAGTAGGCCCGACACTGGGCCCTGCCCTGGACTACTTAGTCCGGCTTGATCGAGAATCCTACTGAGTCAGCGTAGGGAAAATCCTTGGTACCGGATCACCTTTACTGTCCGAGCAAATTACTCATCCTCCCCTGCGTTTTTTTTTTTTTTTTTTTTGTAAGATTTTATTTATTTATTAGCGAGAGAGAGCATGAGAGGGGGGAGGGTCAGAGGGAGAAGCAGACCCCCCGCCGAGCAGGGAGCCCGATGCGGGACTCGATCCCGGGGCTCCGGGATCATGACCTGAGCCGAAGGCAGTCGCCTAACCAACTGAGCCACCCAAGCGCCCCTCTCCCCTGCGTTTTTTATCCTCCTGGCCTGCTTTCGACAAGCATCCTGGTGAGCCTGTAGGGAGAATTCCCCCTAGCCTTGTTACTCAGTAATTTTTTATCCACCGGCCCTCACTCTGCTCCTTGTCAGTCCACCACCCCCCTTACCCTCGTGTTCAGAGTTGACTCCAGTATCTCTCCCCTCCAGCAAAACCTCCTTGCAGTAGGCTCTACACCTATCATTATGGTCCTGAATAAAGAATGCTTTACTTTTTAACTACGATCAGAATGATTTTTTAATTTTTTTCTTTAACAATAAGGAAATAAAAACAATAGCTGAGATATGTGTGTACCAGAAATACAGCTTTGTATGAAAAATACAGCTTCCAGGAAATTGAGGCAAAAAGGAAAACTGGGTAAGTAGGGTCTAAAGGCAAAGAAAGAGCTTGGCCACTGTGGGAAGTCAGCCTTTTTCTGACCTCTGAGCTTCCAAGAGGCAGGTGATGGCTTCTGACCACCTAGGAGCTCCACTGGCCCCTTTTGTCCCAAGTCCCTTTCCTTGACTCCCCCAGATCTTAGATCAGCCACTCCTTTGATGGACACTGAGCCTTTGCAAATGGCAGGTGTGTATTCAGTCTGAGGTTACTAAGTATAAAATTCATAGGCTTTGTTCTCTTGATCATATCATTTGATCTGTATTTCCTTTCAGGTTGGTGCATACAAAGTATGACTTCCCTGTCATGTACAAGACCCTGAGGTGGGGCTTGATCCGGTGCCCAGGGACCTCTTCACCAGGGACTCTTTCAAAACTTCAGTTAAAGTCCACCAGGAACACACCTGTGGTTAAAGAATTACTATTATTATTTTTTTTTTTTTTAAGATTTTATTTATTTGACAGAGAGAGAGACAGCGAGAGAGGGAACACAAGCAGGGGGAGTGGGGGAGGGAGAAGCAGGCGTCCCGCGGAGCAGAGAGCCTGATGTGGGGCTCAATCCCAGGATGCTGGGATCATGACCTGAGCCGAAGGCAGACGCTTAACGACTGAGCCACCCAGGTGCCCCAACAATTACTATTATTGCAGTAAGGAACAACAACATCATGGGGAATTATGAGAAGTCTAAATAAAGAGGAGTTAGGAAGAAGCTATTATAGGATTTGAGCTTTGGATGATTTGGGGTAGAATCTCAAGTTGTGGGGAGTTTGCTCTAGGTTGGATGCTGTCAGAAAGTAAGGCAATGTGGTGACTATTTTGTGGATGGCACTGCATTCTGTTTTTGTCTGTGCTTAGCATTATGAAGTGTCCTTGTGTTTGTTGCAATTTATGGTCTCAGAGTAATCTCTCTCTTTTTTAAAGATTTATTAGAGAGAGAGTGCAAGTGGAGGGAGGGGCAGAGGGAGAGGGAGAGAGAGAATCTCAAGCAGACTCCCCAGTGAGCGCAGAGCCCAACATGGGTCTCAGTCTCACAACCCTGAGATTATGACCTGAGCCAAAACCAAGAGTCTGACGCTTAACTGACTGAGCCACCCAGGCGCCCCATTAAAAAAATTTTTTTTAAAGATTATTTATTTACTTAGATAGAGAGAGGGCAGAGATAGCAAGAGAGAGCAGGAGAGGGGAGGAGAGGGAGAAACAGGCTCCCTGCTGAGTAGAGAGCTGTATGTAGGGCTCCATCCCAGGACCTGGGGATCATGACCTGAGCTGAAGGCAGACACTTTGAGCCACTCAGGCACCCCTAATTTTTTTTTAAAGATTTAGGTCTCAGAGTAATCTTGTATGAAATTAGTATTTTGTGAGATTGTTATGTCTTAACAGTTGAGGACAAAATGGCCTGAGTGTCAGACCAATTTGTAATAACATTGAAGCCTAACTATGAAGCAAATGTTGGCAGAATTGAAGGGAGAAATACAGTCCTACAATAATAGTTGAAGACTTAACACTCCACTTAAAACAAGCCTTAAGACTAAAAAAAAAAAAAAAAAAAAGGCTGACAAGTCCAGTTTGACAAAGAAATGGTTTATTAAGGGGACTATGGACAAAAGCATGACTTGGGCACTGCAAGATGAGTAGATCTCTGCAATACCACAAATAGATCCACATCAATATAGTCAGCTGATTTTTCACAAAAGAGCCATGGGGCAAAGATAGTCTTTTCAACAAATGGTGCTGGAACAACCAGACACACACACACACAAGCTTAGACAAAGACTTGACTCAGTTCACAAAAGTAAATCAAAATAAAGAACTAAATGTAAAATGGAAAACCACAAAATTCTCAAAAGATAACATAGGGTATGACAATGACTGTTTACAATACCAAAGGCCTATCCATTAAAGAAAAAATTGGTAAGATATATTTTATTAAAATTAAAACTTATGCTTTCAAAAGACAATGTTAGGAGAATGAAAAGACAAGCCACACACTGGGAGAAAATATATGGAAGACACATCTGTTAAAGGATCGTTCTAAAAAAGACAAGTTTTGAAACTCAACAATAAGAAAACAACCTGATTTTAATGAGCTAAAGACCTTAACAGACACCTCCCCAAAGAAGATAGACAGATGGCAAATAAACACATGAAAAGATGCTTCACATCATATGTCAGCAGGGAAATGCAAATTAAAACCATAATGAGATACTACTACACATGTATTAGAATGACTAAAATCCAGAATACTGACAAAAATCAAATGCTGACAAGGATGTGGAGCAAAGGAACTCTCATTTATTGCAGATGGGAATGCAAAATGGGATAGCCACTTCGGAACACTGTGACAGTTTCTCACAAAACTAAATATACCCAAAGGAGGTGAGAACTTAGGCCCACAAAAAAACCTGCACATGGATTTTTTTTTTTTTTAAAGATTTTATTTATTTGAGACAGAGAGAATGAGAGACAGAGAGCATGAGAGGGAGGAGGGTCAGAGGGAGAAGCAGACTCCCCGGAGCAGGGAGCCCGATGCGGGACTCGATGCGGGATTTGATCCCGGGACTCCAGGATCATGACCTGAGCCGAAGGCAGTCGCTTAACCAACTGAGCCACCCAGGCGCCCCTGCACATGGATATTTATGGCAGCTTTATTCATAATTGTCAAAACTTGTTAGCAATCAAGATGTCCTTTGGTAGGTGAATGGATAAATAAACTGGTACATCTAGGCAATGGAGTATTATTTAGTGCTGAAAAGAAATGAGCTTTCAAGCCATGAAAAATTTGGAGGAAACTTAAGTGCATGTTACTAAGTGAAAGCCAAAGTCTATATACTATAGGATTCCAACTATATGACATTCTGGAAAAGGCAAAACTAGGAAAAAGGTAAATGGTTTCCAGGGGTTGAGGTAGGGGAAGGGATGAATAGTCACATAGGATTTTCAGAGGGTACCATAATGATGGATACTTGTCATTATATATTTGTCCAAACTCCTAGACTGTATAACACAGAGTGAACCATAATGTAAACTATGGACTTTGGGGGCATATGATATGTCAGTATAGGTTTGTCAGTTGTAACAGATGTACAACTCTAGTGGAAGATATTAATAATAGGGAGAGGCTATGCATGGATGAAAGCTCGGAGTAGACAGGCAATATCTGTACCTTCTCAATTTTGCTGTGAAGTTTAAACTGTTCTAAAAAAATTAAATTCTTTTTTAAAAAGATTTTATTCATTTATTTGACACAGAGAGAGAGAGCTCGCACACACCAAGTGCACACACAAGCAGGGGGAAGGGCAGGCAGAGGGAGAAGCAGGCTCCTGGCTGAGCAGAGAGCCCATGCGGGGCTGGATCCTAGGACCCTAGTATCATGACCTGAGCTGAAGGCAGATGCTCAAACTGCTGAGCCACAAGGTGCCCTAAAAAAATTAAATTCTTTTAAAAAGTTCCTTTCTTTTCCTTTTAACACACATAGGATAAGTAGAGATGTTCTCTCATTTCTGCTATTAATAATTTTGTCCTCTTTTTTTTCTTAGTTACCCTGGCAAGGAGCTTATCAATTCTATTGATATTTTCAAAGAGATAGCTGTTGGTTTTACTGATTTTCTCTATTTTTTTTTAAAGATTTTTTATTTTATTTATTTGACAGAGAGAGACACAGCGAGAGAGGGAACACAAGCAGGGGGAGTGGGAGAGGGAGAAGCAGACTCCCTGCTGAGCAAGGAGCCTGAGGCGGGACTCGATCCTGGGACTCCAGGATCATGACCTGAGCCGAAGGCAGTTGCTTAACCAACTGAGCCACCCAGGCGCCCCATCTATTTTTTTTTTTTTAAAGATTTTATTTATTTGACAGAGAGAGACACAGCGAGAGAGGGAACACAAGCAGGGGGAGCGGGAGAGGGAGAAGCAGGCTTCCCGTGGAGCAAGGAGCCTGATGCGGGGCTTGATCCCAGGATCCTGGGATCATGACCTGAGCTGAAGGCAGACGCTTAACGACTGAGCCACCCAGGCGCCCCTGATTTTCTCTATTAATATCCTGTTTTTAGTTTCATTTATTTCTACTTTAACATTATTTTTTTCTGCTTCCATTAGTTTTATCTGGCTCCTCTTTCTCTAATTTCCTAAGATGGAAGTTTAGATTATTGATTTTAACTATTTTTCCCTTCTAATCAATGCCTTCAATACCATATATTCCCTATAACCACTACTTTTGCTGAATTTCAGAATTTTTTATAAATGATATTTTCATCATTTAATTTAAAATATTTTTGAAAAACTCTCTTGAGACTTATTTTTTGATGCATGTGTTATTTAGAGCTGTGTTCTCAGTCTTCAGATATTTTGGGATTTTCCAGCTCCTTCTCTGTTACTGATTTTTAGTTTAATTTCATTGTTTTCTGAGAACATGCTTTGTATGGTTTATATTCCTTGGAATTTGTTAAGATGTGTTTAATGGCCCAGAATGTGGTGTATCTTGGTGAATGTTTCATGTGGGCTTGAGAGTAATGTGTATCACATTGTTGGATGAATTATTTTTATAAATGTCAACTAGATCCAATGGATTGATGGTGCTGTTCAGTTCAAATATATCACTATTGATTTTCAGCCTGCTGGGTCTGTCAATTGCTGATAGAGGAGTATTGAAGTCTCCAATTATAATATTGGATTTGACTAATTTGACTAATTAGAATTTGACTAATTCTCCTTGCAGTTTTTGACTGACATATTTTAGTGCTTTTTTCTTAGGCTCATACACATTGAAGATTGTTATGCCATCTTGAATAATTGACCCCTTTATTATTATGTATTATATGTCATTATGTAATGCCCTTTTTATCACTGATAATTTTCCTTCTTTTGAAGTCAGACTTGTCTCAAATATAGCTACTTTAACTTTCTTTTGTTTAGTGTTATTTAGCATACTATGGCTTTCTCCATTACTTTTAATCTATTTGTGTCTTTTTTTAGTAACTGAGTTTGAATTCATCCCCCAGCTTTATTGAGATCTAGTTGACATATAACATTGTGTAAGTTTAAGATATACAATATGATGATTTGGTGCACATATATATTATAAAACTATTATAAAAATAAGGTTAGTTAACACATCAATTATCTCACATAATTACCATTTTTATTGAGATATAGTGCACATATAACATTACATTAGTTTCAGGTGTACAATATTATTTGCTCTATGTATATATTGCAAAGTGATCACCATTATAAGTCTAGTTAACATCTGTCACCACACAGTTATATATATATATATTTTACAGTGAGGACTTTTACATTCTACCCTCTTAGCAACTTTCAAATATGCAGTACTGTATTACTACAGTCATCATGCTGTGCATTACATCCCCAGGACTTTCTTATTTTATAAGTGGAAGTTTGCACCTTTTGAAGACCTTCACTCTGCACTCCCCTAACCACCGATCTATTCTCTGTATCTATGAATTCAGTATTTTTTTTCATTTTTTAGATTCCAAATATAAGTGAGAACGTACAATATTTGCCTTTTTCTGACTTATTTGACTTAGCATAATACCCTCAAGGTCCATCCATGTTGTTGCAAATGGCAGAATTTCCTTCTTTTTGTCGCCAAGTATTCCACTGTATGTATGTACCTCATTATCCATTCATGCATTGATGAACACTTAGGTTGTTTACATTTTGGCTGTTGTGAATAATGCTACAATGAACACAGGGGGCCAGATATCTCTTCCGGATACTCATTTCAGCTTATTGTTTTCTCTATTGTTTTTCAATTTCATTGTTTCTGCTCTTCATTATTTCCTTCTTCCTTTTTTAGTTTATTGAGGTGGGAGTGTAGGTAATCGATTTGAGAATTTTCTTCTTTTGTAATGTAAACCTTTAAAATTTTTCTCTGGTACAGAATTTCCTCTCACCACTGCCTTAGCTACAACCTACAAACTTTGATATGTTGTGTTTTCATTTTCATTCATTTCAATGTGTTTTTTAAATAAGATTTTATTTATTTATTTGACAGAGAGACACAGCCAGAGAGGGAGCACAAGCAGGGCGAGTGGGAGAGGGAGAAGCAGGCTTCCTGCTCCATCCCAGGACCCCGGGATCATGACCTGAGCCGAAGGCAGACGCCTAACGACTGAGCCACCCAGGCGCCCCATTTCAATGTATTTTAAAAATCTTGAGACTTCCCCCTTTGGCCCATGGATTACTTCGAACTCTGTTGTTTAATTTACAAGTGTTAACTTCCTGTCATCTTTCCGTTCCTGATTTTTTTTTAAGATTTTATTTATTTGCTTGATAGAGATAGAAGGAGAGCACAAGCAGGTGGAGTGGCAAGCAGAGGGAGAGGGAGAAGCAGGCTCCCCGCTGAGGAAGGACCACCCCCAACATGGAGCTCGACCCCACGACTCTGGGATCATGACCTGAGCCGAAGATGGCTGCTTAACCGACTGAGCCATCCAGGCGCCCCTGTTCCTGATTTCCACTTTGATTCTACTGTGTCCAGAGAGCATAGCCTGTATGATTTCGGTTCTTAAATTTGATATGTTTTATGACACAGGTTATGATACATCTTGGTATATGCTCCATGGGCGCTTGAGTAGAGTGTGTATCTTGCTGTTTTGGGGCGAAGTGTTCGTAACTGCTGATTGGCTCAGTGGTGGTGTTGAGCACACAGGAGCATGCAGAAAGGCACCGGGGGGCCTTGACTCCGGTTGTTTCCTGGCCTACTCCTAGAGTAGTACCTCACTTGCCACATTTCCCCCTGACAACTCTGAGCTACACAGTCTTTACGTCACTTCAACATGGCCGCCCGCAGGTCTGAGTGGCTACCGGGCGCCGCCATGTCGGCGCCGAGTCAGCCATTTGGCGGGGGCCGATTTGAGCAGAGAGCCATGTTGAGTCCGGGAGACCTGCCGCCGAGCACCCGCTACTGAGCATGCGCACACCCAGGCGGCGGCGTAAGGGATCCCGCAGGAACCCGGAGGGAGTGAGAAAGGAAGTCGGACAGGTTTAGTCACCACCTGAGGTAAATGGCCACTGTCTTGAGAGAGCTTGGGTGAGGGGCAGGTGAGTGCAGCGACGGGAACATCGGGAGTTGACCCGTGGAAAGTCTCTGATGTCTGTGAGTAGCGTCGGGTCAGTGATGGGGGCGGGCAGTGGATGAAATAATGGGAGTCTGAGGGGTCTCTGAGGGTGGATCCCCGGGGAGGGTCGGCGTCTGTGGGGTCTCTGAGGGTGGATCCGCGGCGGAGGGACGGGGTCTGTGGGGTCTCTGAGGGTGGATCCGCGGCGGAGGGTCGGCGTCTGTGGGGTCAGTATGGGTGGATAACTGTGGAGACTGAATAATGAGGGATCTGAGGGGTGAGCGATGTTAGAGATTAATTGATATCCTCTCTCTCTTAGGCTTTTTGGTTTGCTCCTATTTATGATTTATTCATGCTATATTTTGCTAGAGATTTAAAAAATATGCCATGAGGTTGCGTATAAATCTTCATTTACCTTACTTTTATCTTTTACTTATCCAGATTAGTAGCCACGTTGCTATTTGTAATACATATTTTCTTTCTCTTTTTTATTTTCAGGCATCTCAAATTTTATCTTAGGGACCATTTTAAAGTACTAGTTGTGTTTATAATCTCTACTCTTTTTTTTTTCCTTTTTAAAGTTTTATTTATTTCTTTTAGAGAGAGAGCACATGCCCACATGGGTGGGAGGGGCAGAGGGAAAGGAAGAGAATCTCAAGCGGACTCCTCATAGAGGGGCTCTGTCCCAGGACCCTGAGATCATGATGCTGGCAGAAATGAGGAGTTCCACTTCAGTTGACTGAGCCACCGAGGCGCCCCATCTCTACTCTTTTTATATTAATTTTATCTCCCCCACTTTTTTTAAGATACTTTTTTTTTTCTCTTTTTGATGTCAATTGTTATTCTTTCCCTTATTTTCTCAGTTTTATACGGGATACCTATAGGGGTATAAAATTTCCTTTAAATACATCTTTATGTATGACATGTGTATTTTTTATATTCTTTTTTATTTTATTTTATTTTTGAAGATTTTATTTATTTATTTGACAGAGAGAGACACAGCGAGAGAGAAAACACAAGCAGGGGGAGTGGGAGAGGGAGAAGCAGGCTTCCAGCGGAGCAGGGAGCCTGATGCGGGGTCGATCCCAGGACTCTGGGATCATGACCTGAGCTGAAGGCAGACGCTTAACGACTGAGCCACCCAGGCGCCCCTATATTCTTTTTTAAAGATTTATTTGTTTTAGAGAGAGAAAACATGAGCAGGGAGAGGGGAGGAGGATGGGGGGGAGGGGAGGGAACAACCCTGAGATCATGACCAGAGCCAAAATCAAGAGTCAGAGGCTTAACTGACTGAGCCACCCAGAGGGTTGGAACTTGAAACCCACCCCCTGACTGGAGGTTGAATCAATCACCAATGGCCAGTTATTTAATTGATCATCTGTATGTCATGAAGCTTCCATAAAACTCCAAAAGGATGGAATTTGGAGAGCTCCTGGATTGAACACATAAAGATGCTGGGAGAGTGGTATACCCCTTCCCATATACCTTGCCCTATGCATCTCTTCCATCTGGTTGTTCCTGAGATATATTCTTTTGTAATAAATTGTTAATCCAGTAAGTCAAATGCTATCCTGAGTTCTGTGAGCTGCTCTAGCAAATTAATGGAACCCAAGCTGGCGTTCCTGGGAACCTCTGATTTACAGCCAGTTGATAAGGTACAATTAACAACCTGGACTTATGATTGGCATCTGAAGCTGGAGTGGGGGCACTCTTGTGGGACTGAGACCTCAACCTGTGTGATCTGATGGTAACTCCAAGCTGATGATGTCAGAATTGAGTTAAATTGTAAGACACTCAGCTGGTGTTGCAGAAGTGCTTAGTGTGGGGATCCCTTTCCCTCCCTGCTTCCAACATATACACACACATTTTGGTGTTCAGAAGTATTGAGAATAGAGGAAAAACACAGAAGGGGATGGGATTGATTGGTAGAGAGCCAGGACCATTGGGGTAGAGCTGTTGGAGGCTCTGTGATCAGGGACTGTAGAATGAGTGATTTGGGGTCTGTGGGCAGCAGGATGTGGGAACCAGTGATTCTGAGGTGTGAGTAATGACTCCAGGGGAAGGTCAGTGTGCAGCAGCTGACAGTGGAGCAGATTGAGGAGTGGGAGTGAGGAACTAGGTGATGACTTGAGCGGGCTGTGAAGTCAGATGATCTCTGGTACAGTAATTGCATTCTACATTGATTATTGATATTGCAGTAATAGCAATAGCTAATATTTAACGAGTGTTTATATGCCACACATGGGCTGAGTGCTTTTCAAGTATTATAAGTTTGTTTATCTAAAAAGTATGAAGATGGGGAAATTGAGACTGAAGTGAGTTCTCCAAATTGTCACAGCTAGAAGATACAAGAGCTGGGATTCAAAAATACATTGATTTGGCTCTGTACTTTTTATTGTTCCCCTGTGTCTCCTGTTGCACACTGTAGGAGGCTCTTGGGAGTACAGCTGAGTGGCTGTCACCATGTGGCACTCTCTCTGCAGGATCCCTTTGTGTTTCCACAGAGCCTTGATGTCAGAGCACTTAGTGAGCCTTCAGAATCTCTTTTTCATACTCCAGCCCACCTTAGCCCAATATTGCTGGTAGTCTTCAGACATTCACCCATCCTTGGGCTCCTAGGAAGATTGGAGTTCTGAGATAAACAGAGGTGCCCAGTGTGAACATGACAGCCAAGGAGAACTTGCCCACAGGATCCAGCTCATATCCTGCCTCTTTGGGAACGCGAGAGCTCCTGTGAAGGGGGAGGGGAGCCTCGGAAGCAGGACTGTTTTTTAGATCTGGGCTTGGTAAAACAAAATATGATCCTTTTGCAATGTGAACAGTGTATGGCTGATGTCATATGCTCCAAATCTGTTTGCTGTAGTGGGAGAGATTTTATTTTTTAGAAGTATTTATTTATTTATGTATTATTTGTTTGTTTATATTTTGAGAGAGAGCGTGCACACGTGGATGGCAGGGGCAGAGGAAGAGGTAGGGAGAGAGAATCTTTTTTTTTTTTTCTATTTTTTTTTTATTCTTATGTTAATCCCCATACATTACATCATTAGTTTTAGATGAAGTGTTCCATGATTCATTGTTTGTGCATAACACCCAGTGCTCCATGCAGAATGTGCCCTCCTCAATACCCACCACCAGGCTAACCCATCCTCCCACCCCCCAGGGAGAGAGAATCTTATGCAGGCTCCATGCTCAGTGTGGAGTCTGACACTGGGCTTGATCGCACGACCCTGAGATCATCACCTCAGCGAAAATCAAGAGTGGGATGCTTAACCAGCTGAGCCACCCGGGTGCCTTGAGATTTTTTGTTTTGTTTTGTTTTATTATAGAAAATTTTAAATGTACACAATTTTAAATGTATAGTAGAGAAAATATATAATGAACCCCAAATGCCCATATCACCCAGTCTCAGTAATTATCAACTATTTGCCAGTGTTGTTTCACCTGTTTCTTCCCACTTTGTTTTGACCAGAATATTTTTTTTAAAGATTTTATTTATTTATTTGAGAGAGAGAGAGAATGGGCAGTGGAGAGGGGCAGAGGGGGGGAGAGAACAAGAGAAGCAGACTCCCTGCTGAGCAGGAATCCCGACATGGGGCTCAATCCCAGGACCCTGAGATCATGACCTGAGCTGAAGGTAGACACTTAACTGACTGAGCCACCCAGGACCCCCTTGACCATAATATTTTAAGATAAATCTCAGATTCCATATCATTCCACAAATACTTCAGCATACAGGTCCTGATGTGGACTTTTTTTCTCACAACCACCTAGCCATTACCAATCTAACAGAAGCTCCCTGATAGTAAGTAGCTCCCTCATCTGATACTCTGTAGTCAAGTTTATCTCATTATCTAGAACATGACTTTGTTAACTTTTTACTATAAAAATTTCAAAAGTAGGAAAGCTGAGCAAGTAATATAATAAACCCCCCATATGCCCATTGGTCAGTGGGTGTCAGTGTGATTATTCTAGTTACCACTTCACGCCCAGTCATTTGTCATCTACACCTTCCTTTCCCATATTTTTTCTCTTCTGCTGGATTATTTTGAAGCAAATCTCATACATTGTGGCATTTCACCCATAAATATTTCAATATATAAACCTAAAAATAAGTATTTTAAATAAAAATAGCCACAGTGCTATTATTATACCTTAAAAGATTATAATACATTTATTTTATTTATTTATTTATTTATTTATTTTTTAAGATTTTATTTATTCAGGGGCACCTGGGTGGCTCAGTCATTAAGCGTCTGCCTTCGGCTCAGGTCATGATCCCAGGGTCCTGGGATCGAGCCCCGCATCGGGCTCCCTGCTCGGCGGGAAGCCTGCTTCTCTCTCTCCCACTCCCCCTGCTTGTGTTCCCTCTCTCACTGTGTCTCTCTGTCAAATAAATAAATACAATCTTTAAAAAAAAAAAAAGATTTTATTTATTCATTTGAGACACAGAGATACAGAGAGAGAGAGCATGAGCAGGGAGAGAGGCAGAGGAAGAAGGAGAAGCAGGCTCCCTGCTGAGCCAGGAGCCTGATGTGGGGCTCGATCCCAGGAACCTGGAATCATGACCTGAGCCAAAGGCAGATGCTTAACCACTGAGCCACCCAGGCGCCCCGATTATAATATATTTAAAAATACCATTTCATGTAGATTGGATTGGTAGGTGGATTTAGAGGCTTGGCAGATTCAGGTTCCTTTTTTGTTATTTTGGGGCAAGACTACTTCCTAAGTGGTGGTGTGTACTTCCATCAGCCACACAATATCTGGTTATCTTTTTGTGATGTGAACAGCTGTTGATTGTTTCCTAGATCCACTATTTTATTAGGTGTACAAGATGGACATTTTCACTTCTACCGTTCCTTCATTTATTAGCTGGATATAAAAAGAGGAAGAGAGAAACTCCTTCATGAAGTGTTTGGTTACCCTAGGGTACAGCTATATAGGAAAGACAGCAGAAATGCTTTCTTTACAAGACAAAGTTTCCATTGAAGTTTCCCTTTTAAGAACTGTAAGCAAATGAATGGATAAAGAAGATGTGGTCCAGGGCGCCTGGGTGGCTCAGTCGTTAAGCGTCTGCCTTTGGCTCGTGTCATGATCCCAGGGTCCTGGGATCTAGTCCCACATCGGGCTCCCTGCTAGGCGGGAAGCCTGCTTCTCCCTCTCCCACTCCCCCTGCTTGTGTTCCTGCTCTCGCTATCTCTCTCTCTGTCAAATAAATAAATAGAATCTTTAAAAAAAAAAAAAAAAGATGTGGTCCATATATACAATGGAATATTACTCAGCCATCAGAAAGGATGAATACCCATCTCTTACATCAACATGGATGGGACTGGAGGAGATTATGCTAAGTGAAATAAGCCAAGCAGAGAAAGTCAATTATCATATGGTTTCACTTATTTGTGGAACATAAGGAATAGCATGGAGGACATTAGGAGAAGGAAGGCAAAAATGAAGTGGGGGGAAATCGGAGGGAGAGATGAACCATGAGGGACTATGGACTCTGAGAAATTTAAACAGGGTTTTAGAGGGGAGGGGGGATTGGTTAGCCCGGTGGTGGGTATTAAGGAGGGCACTTACTGCATGGAGCACTGGGTGTTATACAAAAACAATGGATCGTGGATCACCACATCAAAAACTAATGATGTATTGTATGGTGACTAACATAACATAATAAAATTCAAAAAAAAAAAAAAAACCTAAGCAAAGGAGAAAAGTGAAAAAGCTTCAGGCTCTCTCTTTGGTCTTTCCTGTGAATGTTCTCACTGGTTGGGATGGGCTAGTCACAGAAGCTCAGAGCAAACTCATTATATTCTTTAAAAACAGTTACTTTGGGTTTTACTAGCAAATAAGAAGAATATAAAAATTACCTGTAATTTTACCATCACCCAAATAATATATCTGTTAACATGGTAGTATATTTCCTTCCATATAATTTTCTTTTTATGCATGAATGCACTCATAGATGTGTATATGTGTGTATGTGCGCATGTGTATGTACACATATTGTTCAGTGAAAATGGAATCATACTGTTTGGTACATGTTTTTATTTTTACTTGTTAGTTTAACATATTTTTCTACTGTAATTTAATTTTATATAACTTTATGTTCTCAGGATGGCCTGTAAATAATTTAAGCAGTCTTGGGTATCAAGATGTTGTAGCCTTTTTATTTTGTTATTAGCCATGCTGTGGTAAAACTCCTGCATTTAAATTTTGTGCAATACAGGATGGTTTTTTTATGATATAGTTCTAGAAATAAGTTTTTGGGTCAGGTGCATGGATGCTAAATGATATATATGTCCATGTGTGGGACTCTGGCACACTTCTTCTCTCATCTGTCCCTCTATCCATCTCATTTCTCAGATCTCTGCCTCTTTCCCAGAAGAGCCAGAAATGACCAAGTCCCTGGTGAGTTCTTACTTGTTTTTGCTCTATTTATTTTTTGCTTTATTTTTTAGTGGATTTTAGGAAGCATTTAATAATCCATATAGTAAGATGGACAAGCATAAATAAATAAAAATTAAGATCGGGGGAAAAAAAGAGGTGACTATTCACTCCGGGTCAAGCTTGGAGTATAGATATATGTGACTTGTGTGGTTTTATACAGCTATGAACTTTGAACTGTGAGATTGTCTCTGATTTTCCTGAAAGACCTAGCAATAATGGAAATGAGATACTGATTTATATTGTTGATAAGTAATTCATTTCACCTGTAGTAAAGATATCCTGGTTCCTGTTGTTTGAGAAAAATTTGGATGGAGACAGAACAGTGTCTTCAACAACGCTGTTAGTAGAAGTGCACTGATAGGTTTTCTATTGTTATAAAGCAGTGCTTTTCACACTTGCACATGACTTAAGATTCTGATTTAATAGGGTTGGGATTCCCACAGGATGTCATTTCTGCTTGTCCAAGGACTACCTTATGAAGCAAAGTTTTGAGGTTTTATGATGAACTGGTATTTTGTCAGATGTTTTTTCTGTATCATTTGATATGGTAATGGGATTTTACTTCTTTAGCCTATTGCTATGATGGATTACTATTGATTGATATTGATTGATTTCCTTTTTTTTTTTTTTAAGAATAAAATTTATTGTCTTATGCAGCAGGAGGCCCTGCTGGGTCCTCAGACACCCCCTTCCCCCCACCTACAGTTGATTGATTTTCACATCTTGAGCCAGCCTTGCAACCTTCGAATAAACCCCATTTAATTATGGCATATACTTCTTTCTATATATTTGTATTTGTTAATACTTTGTTAAGGATTTTTATATCATATTTATGAGGGATACTGATCTATTTATTTTATTTTATTACTTCTATATATGGATGAAAGTTCCAACTCCCCTCCTGGCTTTTTCTCACACCACACCTTTGAAGTATGAAAAGGGCATCTCTGTTTAGCTGGGCAAGAATGGGAGTCTAGGCTACTCACTGGGTCTTTGCTAATGGGTTTGGGGTCAGACCCAAAGGTTTTGTTTGTTTTTTTAATTTGTTGTGTCTGGCTGGAGTATGTTTTGCCTAAAAGTTTTCTGCCTTTCTGCCCTTTAGCTAGAGAGAGCAAAGACTTTTCTTTGAGCTCTGTTTGTGTGCTCTTGTTGGTGATACTGGGTTGTAGGCTTTTCTAGCACCTGTCAAGGCTGTATGAAGCAGTCGTCAGGAACTCATGCTGTGTAGTTCCTTGGTTTCTGAGGTCCCTAGCCAGTTCGACTTTTTTTCTTTAGCCTTATGGGGTCTTCTCATATTTGTTTTATGGATGATGTCTATGGTTTCTAGATAGTAGGGTGAGAAGGGACAAGTGCATCTATTCCCATCTTTCCAGGAATGGAAGTCAGTTCACTGATTTTTTTTTTTTTAAGGAGGATTTATTTTATATTAAGCATATTCTTATATATATTTTTTCAAACATATTTACCTCTTTGTTCTTTGCATCTTAACTTTTAAAAGTAAATATTTCATTTGGAATATCATGAAAGTTACACTTATATTTACTCACATAGTTTTTTGAGGCTCCATAGAACTTTGCTTAGCTCTCAAATTCCAGCCCTTCGAAGGTAATCACTGTGAACTCAATTGAACTGCTTGTTTTAGTATTGACTTTCATATGTCTAAGTAATGTTTATATTGGTACCTCTTAGCTTTCAGCTTTAGGCAGTATCTACTGACTTAATACCATGGAAAACAAGGATTTAACTCTCCTTGAAACACTTAGGCCCTCAACACTCACATGCATATTTCTTATGTCTCCTTATGATAGGAATATTATAGTTTTGAGTAAATCAATAGGCTGTATTTATTATGAGGATTATTTTAATTATATTCACAGCTGAACCATTTACTTTACCTTTTGTGCACTACTTTTTGTTTTACCTGCAATCAGTAATTGTTTGGCTTAATCATTTGTTTCATTTTCTGTGTGTGTGTGTGTGTGTGTACATTGTGATTATATAGCAGTTAATTCCATAAATTTTCCCAGGTATAGAAATATTTTTTCAGTATGTTAGAATATATTAGGTAATAACAGTAACGGTAATCACAAGCCTTACTATAGTGCTTGCTATTTGCCAGGCACTGTGAGCACCCTCTCTATTAACTAATTTGATTACAACCCCTATGAGGTATCTATAATCATCCTCACCTTACGGAGGAGGAAACAGATCCACAGAAAGGGTAATTAACTTGCCCAAGATTGTACCACTAGTAAGTATTGAAGCCAGGTGTAAGCCCAGGTAATTCGGCTTTAGAATATAGGCTCTTAATTTCATCTCTAAAGAAACTTCTCTCGGGCGCCTGGGTGGCTCAGTTGGTTAAGCGACTGCCTTCGGCTCAGGTCATGATCCTGGCGTCCCGGGATCGAGTCCCGCATCGGGCTCCCTGCTCGGCAGGGAGCCTGCTTCTCCCTCTGACCCTCCCCCGTCTCATGTGCTCTCTGTCTCTCTCATTCTCTCTGTCTCAAATAAATAAATAAAATCTTTAAAAAAAAAAAAAAAAAGAAACTTCTCTCATGGTCTTTGACCTGACCTGCTCGCAGTGTTCTCTGTACTGACTTGGGGTCTCCCTTTGGCATAGTGCTAGAAATTCCTTTCATGTCCCTCAAGCATTGGATCTCTTTGTTTTAGGCTTTTTCTTGATTTATGCTTTCATTTTTATTTTATTTTATTTTTTAAAGATTTTATTTATTTGACAGAGAGAGACACAACGAGAGAGGGAACACAAGCAGGGGGAGTGGGAGAAGAAGAAGCAAGCTTCCCACAGAGCAGGGAGCCGAATGAGGGGCTTAATCCCAGGACCCTGGGATCATGACCTGAGCTGAAGGCAGACGCTTAACGACTAAGCCACCCAGGGGCCCCTTATGCTTTCATTTTTAGAACCTGTCATACAGTAGCTCTCTATAAAGTGTGTGTAGGAAGTGAATTTTTTGAGACCTTGCATATCTGGAAATGTCTTTATTTTCATAGCTTGGTTGGGTGTAAATTCTAGATTGTAAATAATTTTTACTTTTACCAACTCGTTTTCTCTTACTAGATATGGTAATAAGCCATTGTTTTTACTTTTACTATCTCATTTTCTCCTACTAGATGTGGTAATAAGAATAATTGCCCCCAAGATGTCCACATCCGAATCCCTGGAAAGTGTGGATTTGTTACCTCATGTGGCAGAAAGGACTTTGCAGATGTGGCTAAATTAAGGATCTTGAGGTAGGGAGATTACACTGGGTTATCTGGGTGGACCCAGTGTAATCACATGGGTCCTTATAAGTGAAAGAGGGAGGCAGGAATCAGGGAGAGATTTGAAGATGCCATTCTGCTGGCTTTGAAGATAGAGGAAGGGGCCATGAGCTTCTAGAAGGTGTGTAGGTCAAGGAAATGAATTCTTCCTTTGAGCCTCCAGGAGGAATATAGCCCTGCTAACATCTTGATTTTAGCCCAGTAAATCCATATTGAAAATCTGACCTTCAGAACCATAAGATAATAAATTTGTGTTGTTTTAACTTTGTGGTAAATTTGTTATAGCAGCGATAGGAAACCATTACAGATTTTGGTACCTGGAAGTGGGGTGCTACTGTAATAAATACCTAAAAATGTGGAAGTAGATTTGGAATTCAGTAGTGGGTAGAAACTGTAAGAATTCTGAAGAACACAGTAGCAAGAGCCTAGATTTCCTTGAACAGACTGGTAGTAGAAATATGGTTGTTAACCACTCTGCTAGAGGACTCAGAAAGAGGTGAGGAGCACAGTAGGAAAAATCCGTGTTGTTTTAGAGAATACCTAAATTGTTATAAACAAAATCTTGATGGAAACGGTTATTAAAGGTACTGCTGGTGATGACTGGAAGGAAATGAGGAGCATGCTACTGGAAACCAGAGGAAAGGGTACCCTGTTGTGCATCGGCAGAAAGCCCAGATGAAGTTTGTCCTGTAGTTCTTGGAAAACAGATTTGTCAGTGATGAACGTGGATTTTTCTCAGAGGAGATTTCCAAGCAAAGGGTTGAAGATGTAACCAAGTTCCTTCTTCCAGATTATAGTGAAATGTAACAGTTGAGATGGATTGAGGGGACAGCTGTTAAGCAAAAAGGAACTAGACTTGATGACTTGGGGAATTTTCAGGCTATCAAGATTCCAAAAGGTACCAAAATTAGTTTCACTGTCAGGAAAGCTCTTGAGAGAAAGCCAAGGGTGTGGATAAATGTTTTGTGTATTTTTTTAGGTTTTTAGGTAATTAGCAGAAGAAATAGGGTGGAATGCAAGGACTCCATTTTTTAAGAACCAGATGTCTCAATCTTGGCTTTTATTTTTTTTTATTGAAGTACAGTTGACACGCAATATTACATTGGTTTCAGCTGTACAACACAGTGATTCGACAAGTCTATACATTATGCTATGCTTACCACAAATGTAGCTACCTTCTGTCACCATACAAAGTTGTCACAATACCATTGACTCTATTCCCTATGCTGTACCTTTCATCCTCATGACTTACTCGTTCCATAACTGGAAGTGTGTACATCCCATCCCCTTCACCCGTTCTACCCATATCCCCTGGCAACCATCAGTTTGTTCTCTGTATTTATGGGTTTGTTTCTACTTTGTTTTGTTTTTTAGATTGCACATGTAAGTGAAACTGTATGGTATTTGTCTTTCTCTGACTTGTTTCACTCAGCACAATACCCTGTATGTAGGTCCATCCATGTTGTCGCAAATGGCAAGATCTTACTCTTTTTTATGTCTGAGTGATACTCAGTGATTCCACTGTATATATACATACCACATCTTTATTTAAAAAATTATTTTATTTTATTTTATTTATTTGACAGAGAGAGACACAGCAAGAGGGAACACAAGCAGGGGGAGTGGGAGAGGGAGAAACAGGCTTCCTGCAGAGCAGGGAATCTGACGTGGGGCTTGATCCA